GTTCTCATGAGACTGAAAAATACAATAACTTTTAATAGGCTAATATGACTGGAATCTTCCTCTAATGAGAGTATATTATTTCAAACAAATTAAGAGAAAAATTGTATGAAAAATTACTCAAGTGTACCTATAATTTCAATTTTGATAAATAGGCAAAACTATGCTGGCTATATAAAAAATAAATCAATGAATGCCTAACAACTAATGCCAACATCATTATTCTTTTTTTTACTTTTTTTACAATCATAATAAGGTTTGTGGTTCCAGAAGTGCTCATTACTGACATTCATATCCTCCTTCGCATTAATAAGTATGAGGGGCCCCCCTCTGTAGCCCATCTTAGTGGTCATCATCAGTGTACTATATTCACAGCCTTCTAAGGGAGAGTTAATCCATCTCTGCTGCATTGATGCTGCGGCTCTGCAGAGGGAAACAGAGTCACTTGGGAATGTCTGTCTGGGGCCGTACCAGCTCTACTGCCACAGAATGGGGTACCAAAGGGACACCAATTAACTGAGTCTCAGATGAGAAAGAAAAGAGAGCAGGATAGAAAGAAGGTGAAAAAGGGTTACAGTGAGACTTTTCACTGTCATGCGCTGCCATTAGTCAAGTGAAGCCCACCGGCAAGTGTTCTATGGCTGTGATTTGTTGTTCAGGCCATATAGTATGGCGTGCATATCTCAACTTAATTGCTTGTATTGCTGCATGTATCGCCCAACTCTAATCTGCTAAATGCAACTATAAGGCATGAAGATATTAAGATGTTATAAACATTAACATCATGATTTTTCATAAAGCTGGCCTGAAACAATATGTATTGTAAAAAGCACTATAGAAATAAAATCTTAATTGAAGTTGAATAGCATGCAACATAATGGATACAGATTGATGCTTGATTTCAATTTAATTTAAACACAGTACAGTTTAGTGTAAGAATGGACAGTTTATAGGTGACCATTTCATATCCATCATATTCATTTATTGGCATCAGACTGTTGATGCATCCCCCCCCAATTAAAACAATTTATTTTTTTCAGTGCAGGCTTGAAGTTATCTAAAATGAAATAGCTTAAGATTATGAAGAAATTTAAAAATGACTATAAAAGCTACTTTTATAACAAAAAATATATACTGTATATATATAAACAAAAATACTAAGTATATGATTAATTTAAGTAAATACAATACAAATAAAACGATTATAAAACATAATAAAATAAGCATAAATGTAAAATATATTAAAAAAAAAATCTAAAAATCTAAAATTAAATACAATTTAAAAATTTAAATTTAAACAAAAAACCCATTAACAAATTAGTAGAATTTTTTTTTTTTTTTTTTAATTCTGCAACTGTCAATAAACTCACTAATCAACACGCAGGCTGATAAAATCATTTAAGGGATAAAGTAGCAAAAATAAAAAAGGGAACTTGTTGATGAGATGCACTGTTACCAACATAATAACCAGACTAGTTACTACTGACATACTGAGGGTTACTATGAGTTTTACTGCAGTTAATTAAAATGCGCTAAATGAGTCCAGATTTAGTGATGTGAGAGACCGTAAAATCAGAATTCCTCCATCTCTCAATGCTCTCGCATCTGTCCTCGCCCCCTCCGCCGCTCCCGGTGGCTGCCCACCCCCGCCTCATTTCCCTGCCCCCCATTCATTTCATGCTGAGTGGATGAGTGAGTAACTAATATGGATCAGACCCAGACCAGACAGACAGCAGCACCCCCATCCCATCCCATCCCATCCCAGTTTACTGCCTCTTCCTCATCTGTCCATCTTGATTTTCCCATCTATATCTTTGCCTGTCTCATTGCATATTCCCACTTTGTCTTTTTCTCTGTTCACTCTCATTCTTTCTATCCTCTGTCTTCTGAATGGATGAAGCACATGTGAAAATGACAATGAAACAAGAGGGAGGTGATAGACAACATAAAGGGAAGGAATGGATTGAACAATCATGCCAAAAAAAAAAAACTGAATGGATAGACTAAAAATATATTATTCACTAGAGTAAATTTTTTCTTTACTTACATCCCTTGTATATATAAAACAAAAACAGAATCTTCTCATCTTGTTGTTTGCAGTCACCTTGCTCTCTCTGTTCCTTCTCTTCATGCGGTTTCCACCTTGCCTACCTTCTTTCATCCTCATCATTCCTTCTCTAACCTTCCTTCTTCCACCTTAATTTATCCAGCCCCACCAGAAGCTAATCTATATGCTAATAAGTAGATGGCAATCAATGACGTTCATGCCCGTCTGTGTGCAATCAATATATTATATGAGAGAGTACATTTCAGAATAACACAGCCCAGAGGTGTTACACAATAAGTGCCTCAATTTACTTTTCAGGACAGTGCCATTCTTATCTCCTCCTCCGAGGTCAGAAAGGCCCCCTTGTATGTATATTTTCAATTTAGTAGGGCCTCTTCAGAATGACCAGAATGGTCTTTTGTTGTGCCCCGAATTAAGCGGGTCCCAAAACCCTATTCACTTTCTGTAGCACACACAATCTGAATAACGCATCGGCCGCATGCAGTCTGTTTTTCATGAGTGTGTGGTTTGATTGTGATTGCCACAGTGGTTGGGGGTTTATACCCTTTGCTAAGTGATGCTCTAATCACTGATTATTAAGAGGCAGCCTCATCAGCACAACACTTCATCAACCAACACTGTGAACTGCAGTGTTTTCTGACTTCACTGTGTCTGCGCTTGGTGTCTCTTCTTTGTCTTTGTTTTTAGCACCGCCATTAAAGGTGCTGTATGTAATTATTTGACTGTACTAAAGCATAAAAATACTATATGTTTGTATTTGTATTTTTAGGAAACATAAAAGTTAAGTTCTCTGAAAAACAATGCTACAGCCAGTTATTCTGTTCTGATATGTGTGTTCCGTGTCAGAATGTCTGTTTTTGTTTTGGTCTGTTTGACTCCGCCCACTGCCCAATTTAACCAATAGTATTTTGACACCCCGGGTTGCCAGTTGTCACAAAACACAGTGTATTGCTGCTATGGAAGTGAGCAAACAAACTGCGTCAGAGATCGCAGATTGTACCCAGCATTTATCTAAAAAGATCTATGACCAGAGGTACATTAAAACTCAGATTAATTTAACTAATCAACTTACAGTGTAAAGCCTAGGGCTGGGTAAAAAATATCGATATCTCGATATTAATCGATTCTCATTTTTACGGAACGATATCGATTCTTAAATCCCAAGAATCGATTAGTCTAGCCTGTTTTCAGTTAATGGACGGAACGTTGAAGGGCACTTCCCATCCAATATATCGCAATAAGCATTGTGCTTTGGTACTTTTAATATGAAACAAAGTCTCCGATTTCAAATTCTGTCCATTGTATTGCAGTATTCAAACAATAAATGTCGTTTTGGCGCTGATTAATGTGGAGTGACAGATCGCTGGCGCACGTGAACTAATCATCTTCTCCACATTAATACCAGTTTCAGCACAAAATAAACTAAGAATAAACATCCGAAGGTAAGTTAAAAGAAAGAGTACAACTTTACAATCCATATCCTGTCTCGTGTAATCGCTCAATCAGTGTTTCAGCCGCGCAAAGATGTCAATATAACGGCTTGTAAACAATGTCACGTAACGTCACATTTACCTCAGAAAAACATTCGGTGAACATAAACTCATTAGTCAGATAGAAAAATAAACTTTAGAGTTGAATTGAGTTGAGAATTGTTAAATATATGCACCATATAACATAGTCATTATAAATTTTACTGTTCTTCAATGTTTAATTTATGTTTGAATAAATCCATCAAGTTTTTATGACAGCCACCATTATGTTTATATTTAAAAAAAAAAAAAAATTGAAGTAGAAATATTACTATGTAATTGTAACTTTATTATTTTAAAAACTTCATTAAGTGTAATTTTAACAAATCAGTCAATTTTAACCTTCAATATTATAGTAATGTAGCACCAACTTACTCTCATGTATATTTTACAGCATTAGTTGAGAGATTTTTTTCCTTGAGAAAATGTGGCATGTACTATACCTGATAAATATCCAAAATAATCAATATTGAATCGAATCGGTAATCGAATCGAATCACAAGCTTGTGAATGAGAATCGAATCGAATCGAATCGTGAAATTTGTGTAAAACCCCAGCCCTAGTCAAGCCCGTCGCCTTCTATTGTTAACTGCGATCATTCCTGTTGCATATCCTCAATCTGGCAACCCACATGAGTGAGGAGTCTGAGGGGGAGGGGCAATTGGGGCTCTCCAATATTTCGAATTTGGACTGTCCATATTACATACTGCACCTTTAATTACAACTTATCTTTACTAGAATATTACATTTGCTCAAAAAATAAATAAAATGAGAGTGTTAGCTGCTCCAGCAAAACTCGCAATGCCATGATGTTGCTATGTGGTTGCTAGTGCATTCTGGGTGTGTTGTTGTGAAAAAAATCAATGAGCCAAAATAAACTTGTAAGGATGCTAGGATGTTTTAGCATAGGATTACGCTACATTAATGATTTGAGATGCCAAATTTTAATACTCAGAATTGAGGATTATTGAAGTCCCTAACCTTGTGTATTATGAAAACAGCATTTCTAAATACATTTATTACAACACTAAATATAAGTATGACTTCCATCAAAGTCTCATTTTCCAGAACAGGCCTTTTCCTCTGTTTTGGCAGGACGAGCATCACCAGTGAATATTCTGAAAGGGGGAGACGGTGGTGCTTATAGAGGGGGATAAAAAATCATTACCATCATCCTCATTAGAGAAGAACCAATTGTCCAATCAGCACACAGCTCTGCAATAGGGCTCCAAAAGGCACCCCCAGTTGGCTGTCGCTAGGAAACCACAGAACCGGGGGGGCTCGCATGCGTGTGTTAGATGGAGAGAAACAGGGAGAGAGAGAGTGCGTCTGTGCCTGGCGACTGGGACGGTGGATGCTAGCGGTGATCTGGCAGGATTGGGGTGCAGAACGCACACTAGACAAAGAAGCATTAGGGTCCTGAGGCATGGGGCTCACCACGGGGCCAAACGGAGCTCGTGCTGCCCCTCAGAAAAGGTAGGAGCTGGGTTTTTGTCTGGAAGGTGGGGCCTTGGCTAACCTGGATGTCTGTGAAATCTCTCAGTGCATGCATATTGATGCACGTCTGTCTTCCATTTCCATCCTAATCCTTCCATCTTACCTAATGTCCTTGTAACTTTTTTTGCTTTTTGGAACGGATTGTTAGTTTGTTCTGTGTTTTGGAATTACTGATAGACTTATTTTTAGCTCTACTAAAGGTGACTGCATTTAATAGTTGTTTAAACTGTACGCTGTAAAGAGCCTCTTATTGGCTGGATGCATATTGTTGGTTGGACCGGAAGCCTTAGAGGGGCCCGGGACTTAGACTCAACGAAAGAGCTTCCCTCTCATTAGCAGACCCACTCAAGTGCTAAATATGAACCAAGCAGGCTTTAATCATGACTGTATGGCATTTCATGATGCATTTCCACCACAGCACATAGCACAGCTGGTAACATCTAAAAAGATTGTGATGGAGTACTACCATACTACGTGTACTATTTCTGCAGTATATAGTATGCATACTAAGTATGCAGTATACAAACTCTGAAAATGCATGATTTACCTACATTCTTTCCAAAATTTCCCAATTTCACTTTCCAGTTCCAATTTATGAATTTGCAAATATCGCATTGTTTACATTAAATGCACATATATATATATATATATATATATATATATATAATAGTATAAATATATAAAATACAATTTAAAATGACAAAAAAAAACCTGATTATTCGCTGAATTAAACATGCAAAGTAGTAGGGTGGTCATGTGACATTTAGCATACTATTTGAATCCTTTATTGTACTGTATACTTATATGAGCACAGTATGCAGTAAGGAGCATGCTAGTATGCCACTGCAAACACACTAAAGTAAACTTGTGCAAAACCCAGTGTCTTCGTGCTTGTACAACGTTTAATAATATTCTAATTCTGTAACCATGTTCCCAGATATCCCTATGGCCTTTCCATTAATGCATATTAATGAGGCTCAGGACTTATATTTAGATTATCTAATTACAATGCCCAACTCCATTAGTTCTTTGGAGCGCAGGAAATGGCTTAGGGGGAGGGCTCATTGATATTACACCATTTCTTGGCGTAATAACAGACCTAGAAAGGGGGGAGGCATAATGGTTTGTTGTGGGTAAAGAGGGGGCGATTCGGGGTAGATAGGGAGGGGGTGAAGAGTGTGTGGGGTTAGTGGCTCTCAACCACATGCGTGTGAGTAATTAAATGAGTATAATTGAAACCATGCCCCGCCGCCCCCGTCCCTGCACTCCTTCTCTTTCTGTCCCCCATCTCAATCCCATTACCACTTTCTGTCCCTGAATAACAAACCCCAGAAGACAGAGAGACAGAAAGGAAAGGAGAGAAGTCATTTAAACATTAGTGCCTATGGCGATTCTGGTTATGAGATTTAGGTGGGTGGGTGAACCCTCAGCCCAGCCACCTATTACATGCTTCATGTTTATATGATGGGATGAACCGATATATGACTCTCTTGTGATACTTGTATCTATGGCTAAGTTTAAAGAATGTTTCAGATTCAAAACAAGCTCTGTCCACTGCATCTGTGACATGCTGTTGATTATCACAGAAAATGAGTTGGACTCGAGCTGGACTAAAAACAGGCATCATGTTTATAGAATGCACTTATAATGGAAGTTTATTAACGCATTCTGGAAAATTGGGCTTGGTAATGTTTTCGAAATACTTAGGTCTCTTATTTTTACCAAATCTGCATTTATCTGATCAAGTAAAACAGTAATATTGTGAAATATTATTATGATGTAAAATAACTATTCTCTTTAATATATATTAAAATGTAATTTATTCCTGTGATGCAAAGCAGAATTTACAGCATCATTTGCTGCTCAATAAACATTTCTTATTATCAATGCTGAAACAGTTGTGTTGCTTCATATTATTATGGAAACTGTGATACCTTTTCAGGATTCTGATGAATAGAGTTTGAAAGAACAGATTTTACTTGAAATTGGAAACTTTTGTAACAATAGTAATTGTCTTTATTGCCACTTTTGATCAACTGAATGCATCCTTACTGAAACTAATCAACATCTTTCTCCAAAAAAGAAAAAATGACCGACCCTAAATTATATATTACGTGTATATACTGTATATATATTATTATAGAGAGAGAGAGAGAGAGAGAGAGAAATAAGCAAATGTGCAATTCCCTTGGCCCAATCAATAAGTGCATTACTGTAAATAGAATTAAAAGTTGAAATTGTCTGTGGTAATCAAGAGCATGCTGAAAAAGCTTGACCAATATAATTTATTTAATCACTCTGTATAAAAGCAGACTGAACCAAAAAAAGTAATGTTTTGTTGATGCAAGTATTGTTTGACAACCTTTAGCGTGGTTCTGTATCGCATATTGACATGGGAAACTCTTCAGACTGGATGTGTAGTCCATCTTCCATGGCCGTTCATGTGCCGGTAACTGGAGACTGCTGAGAAAAAAGGTTTACTGAAATGTAACACTCAAATTCAGTGTCCGGGATGAACTCAAATGCAATTATAATGCCATTTCCAGAAAAGTACAGTATGCCAATGAAGTGATGTTTACATCTTAGGCTACCAGCTCGGACCTTTCTTTTGTATATTAACTTTATAAAAAAGTACTGTGATGGTATCAAATGGTAATACCATGATACTTTGCTATTTACCAAATACAGATACTGAATGACTGCTGTATTTATAGATCATGGTATTTACAAGATAATTCAAAGTATTTCAAAGAACACTATGGTACTACTATTAGGGTTGCATGATAAATCGAAATAAAACAGAATCCCTGATATGACTTATTGTGATTTTCAAGGCCTTGATTTAATAAAAAAATAAA